CATGATTGTTAATACATTTGGGAGTTAGACTAGATTACCTTTGCAATACCTTCTAACCCTGTGGTTCTGTGATTATATGCAAATAGTCTTATTCTTCAGAATAAGACTTCCTTTCACAAAGTGGGATGCCTCCAGTACTAGGCTCAGAGATGCCATAGTGTGACTGCATTTAAAAGATATATATATATATATATAAACAGTTTATTCATGGTAACAAGGGCTTATTGCCTTGTGAACTCTTAGGCAGTTAGCCTTCTAAAACTTGTGTTTTCCATTAAAACCCTAAAAGAACATATTAAATTAACTAGGAGCTCCACACCAAGAACAAAAATGAGACCTTTTGAAAATTTTCATGTAAAAATGAGACCAAGACCCTACCAAGACTAGACAATACCCTGGTGCCAAAGGTACGCCTCAGGTTCATGTCCCCTACTCCAGATCAGGCAGAGCAGAACTGTGAAGCTGAATCTCTCACATCCCGGGTGAGTGTCCTAACCACTGGGCAATAAGTTATTCTGGGCAAGATATCTTTCTGGCTGTTTCTTTCTCTGGTTTTGACCAGAAATTCCATTCTTGACCTGAAAAATTAGTGCAAGATAAACAAAATCCATTTCAGATTGCATGGAATATGTTGTTCAACCCAAAACAAAATTCACAAAACAGTTGTGTTTGTAGTACTAGAGCCCTCCCTTTTAAGCTTTAACCTAATAGCTAGATGTTTGCCTAGGTTGTGGAAGATCCTGGGTTTAATTCCCTCCCCCTCAACCTACAGAAGGGATTTGAACTTGCGTGTCTTACATTGCAGGCAAGTGCCCTAACCATTAGGCTATGGAATATTCTAGTGTAGGTTGTTCTTAAGATGTCCTGTTCCACTCTGTAAAAATAGTTTAACTCCATGTTCCAATTACTATTTAACTTGTGTCTCCCACATTGTAGGGGAATGTCTTAACCATCAGGTAATAAAATAATTCTCACTCCCTTTCTTTGGCCCGCTGACTATTTATTGTCATTCATAGCCGCAATTCATAGTCCTTTTGTATCTAAGGGCTTGTCTACAGTACCACGCGGGGTCGACCTAAGATACGCAACTTCAGCTATGTGAATAGCGTAGCTGAAGTCAACGTGCTTAGATCTACTTACCGCAGTATCTTCACTGTGGTAAGTCAACAGCTGATGCTCTCCCATCAACTCCGCTTGCGCTCCTCATTCTGGTGGAGTACCGGAGTTGACGGGAGAGCGATCATCGGTCGATTTATCGTGTCTATAGTAGACGCGATAAAATGACCCCCGCTGGATCGATCGCTGTCCACCGATCTGGCCGGTAGTGTAGACAAGTCTTGAAAAAATTCTTTTTTGGCCAAAACTATATAGTGAGTTCATGTCAAATTCACAAACAGTAGTGGATGAACCAAAACTACCTTTTTCAGCCAATACAATATTCATCCAAAAAAAAAAATTGCCCGTCACTAGTACCAAAACTGATACTTTTCCAAAGAACCCTTCAATTTTGACAAATTGGTATTTTTCAGTGAAAACTTTTACTGAGAAATTCCCAAGCAGCAACAAGGAAAAGAAGAGAAAATACACCATATGTGCAATATATACAAGGTACTACCTTAAGTTTTGGAATTTCCTGATTTTTGAAGTGGTTAATCTTACAGATTAACATTCCATTAGTTCTAGTTATTTCCACTTTTCTTAAAAGAGAGAGAGAGAGAGAAAGTAAAAAAAAAGAAGACTCTGGTGGTCATACAGTTTACACATTCCACTGACTCTTCCAAGGAGTTCCTTTTCCTTACTCTGAAGCTATTCACCTTGGATCTTCTTGGCACAGAAGTTCTTTGAACCAACATGTATGCACTTGTTCACATATATAGTCACTTGTGGATTTAGCAGAATGTACTACTGCACATGCTCAAGCAAGCTGTTTTTGAATGACCAGCTCTTTGTTAAATCAAAACATTTTTCATACAGAGCAAGCAAAGGCCTTGTCCTCAATGGTAGACACATGCATGCCAAATTTCTTGTTTCAGACTTTGGTTATGTATGCTCTACTCTCTTTTGAAAATATGTGGTGAATTATTTTAAAGTTAAATGTATATTTTTGCAGGCCCTGCCATACTCAAAACCAGCCAACAGTATTTTGGTCAAACTTTTTAGGCAAATGCTCTGTATGGGAAATTTCACAAGGTGATACTTTTGAAAGAGATCAGTGTGTGGAAAACAAGTCTTGTGATTGAAATTATGTTGCAGGTTTAATTATACTGGTGATGCTACCAAGCATCTACTATAAAACTTGCTAGGACCTGGGACACAGCTGTCTTTTGAGGGTTAACGAATATTTCAGATGAGCTTAGAAATATTCAGGTGAAAGATTTTGAATGACTATGAAATTTCATTATCTGTTTACTTCAAAAAGTTAATGGGCCAAAATTAGAAGAGGAATTTGATCCACTCAGTCCCTCACACATTCATGTTGTTATATTTACTGATGTCTTCTTAGATTCAAACTTTAAAATTATTGCATGATTTTGTTATGAAATATATATATATATATATATACATTTACAATAAGAAATGTTCTCTTCAGCCATATGGCCATAAGAAAAATGTACTTGGATCTGTTTTCACAGCTAGAATTCATTTGGTGATCTTGCAGTACATAGTAAAATCCTGTAGTTCTTTGGATAGCATTTATTAGGCTCACACAGAGCGAGGGGCTGACTGTAGCTGATACCCTGGAGGCTGAAGATATCAGCTTCAGGATTTCCTGCAGCATCAGTTAGTGCAGTGACTGAGAAATGGGATTTTGGTTTCAGAAATGTTTGACTCAGGCCTGCTGTGCAATGTGGCACAGTGCTTTAGATGTATCTGTTCTGATTCACCTCTGGGTAATTAGCCTTCATTTATACCTTTTAAAAAATTCTAAATACCAAAAATCATGTGTTAGAAAACTAAAACCGTGGCTGAGAGTTAGCATTAGGCTGAATCTTATTCACAGAAATCCAGACAGATTTATCATTTAATTCTTCACCCTGCTAGTTAATTTGACCTCTTTTCTAATTTTTATATCTTCTCTTTCTAAGGTTGTTGGTGACCTCTGGTGATTAATGATAAATGACCTTCCCCCACCTGAGAATGCAAATCCAGCAGAATGGGTTCCGAGCAAGTGAATGAATTAATACGAGACATTGTATAATAAATACATAAGCATTAAGTTTCTGAGATGGCGCAAAAATGTGACCGTCAAGGCACATTTTCCTGCTTTCTCATCTCTAATAAAGTCATAATCATAGCTGTCGCAGGTTTGATGCTCTTAGTTCCCAAATGTCTTGAAAAGTAAAACTGTACTATACAAGAATTGACAGTGACATTTTCAATGAGGTTCTGCAGTCTTTATCTAAGAAATTCTGCCCTTCTATATGCTATGCTACATCTACCCCATTTCTTATCTGTTTTTCCCACCTGCTTTAAGACAATAATGACATTTAGGGTAACATTTTCAAAAGCACCCAAGTGACTGACTTAGGACCCCAAATCCCATTTTCAGAAGAGACTTAGGCATTTAGGGACCTAAATCTCACTGAAAGTCAGTGGCATTCAGTGTGACTTCTGAAAGTGGGACACTGGCTTCTAAAACATTTAGGCAGTTTTGAAAATATTACTCTTCAGGTTCAATGCAAAATCCTATTGATTTCAACAGGAACAAGGATGGGGCCTTCCTTTATATCATTAAAGTGCCCCTCCCCAGTGCCAGATCTTTCTCCTGAGCTCACAAATCTGTGTATAGTGCTCCTCATGGCATGTATACAGATGGGTGTTGTTGAGTAGGGATGAGATTTAAAAAAAATTCCCATTTAAAAAAAAATAGTGGGAGATGGTCCTAAGATCAATATTGGTACCCTTTACCTCAGTGCTAGTACCTGGCCTTGTGAGGGTCAACCCACTGAGGGCAATCCCATTCACTCCATGAAAAGGTGAGTGCCCAAAGTGGTGGTAGCCATTGAATTCCACACTGGTTTACAAGGAGGGTGGGAATGGATAGTGCACTAGGTCCCCCAACCCCTTCTGTTCCTCTTGAATATATTGCTCACTCCCCAGAGCATGTTCTGTCGGGTCCAGAAATAATGGGAGTACATACCCATACACGCTCCATACAGATGAGGAATGAACCATTAGCTGGAGAAACCCTGTAATGTGGATCTCTAGGAGATGAATAGTGACTTCATTGTAGGCAAATCCTGCAATCCTTATGCACTCCTGACGCCTATTGAAAGTAGCGGCATTATACAACTGCGCCCATAGCTAACTCTTACTCAGTATACTTTAGACTAAAAGATTATTCAACTGTTCCTCTTACAGGTTCCTTTTACAGTTTTATCAGAAAGATGACCAGACTGTTTTTTAATAACTCTTTAGTGTTAGATGCAACGAAACAGCCAATGAGAATGAGTCAATGAAAGCAAATTAAATGTTTTTGTTTTTTTCTGTAAGAGGTTAATGGTCTAATGATAAACAGAATGTTTTATCTTCTTTGTTTTCAAAAATTAAAGAGAAAAAGAAAGGGGAAAAAAACATTATTTTGTCAATTCGGTAAAAGGATCAAATTCTTTGCTGGCATAAACTGGTTTCCGTGGAATTTGACCCAGCATATAATTTGGTCAGAAGGATTTAATAGGTACATTGATCCATGTGGTGCATTTTCATGCTGCGGACAAAATTACAAATCTTTCCCCTTACAGTGGTATTGAGGCTCCAGAGCTAAGCCTAAAAAAAAGAAATAATCTTCCTGGTATTACAGTGCTCTACAGTGACTTCAGCTCTGTTTTTTTAATTGTATTTGGTCCTAGCCCAGCATCTTAGCACAAGTTGAACTGAGGTGACGCTTCTACGGTTTCTTTTTTATGATTTAATTACTAAAAATGTATTTCAGCAAAAACATAAAAATGAAGCTTTTTTAATATTCTTACAGGATATATATATTTTTTTTGGTGCTTTAGGGAGCAGCCTTTAAGAGCTGGAAGATGAAAGCTCCTATTCCACACTTGATTCTCTTGTATGCTACTCTTTCTCAGAGCTTGAAGGTTGTGACCAAGAGGGGCTCAGGTAAGTAGATTTTCTCCCTTTTTCCATTAGGTTTGATGTTGTGGTTACAAATTTGTATGTAAAGCATGTTTGTGACTTGGAAAATATAGAGTAAGAAGTTGTTTCATTCCTTTCTGGACACAGTGGTTAATAGGGTTTCAAAGTCAGCAATAACAACAAAATGGAATATTTTTAACTCTGCGGTTTCTATAGATATCTATGGACAGCTTTCTGCTACATTCCTTTGACTGAGAAAATGCAGCAGGCTATGGATTAATTGAAGTCATATAAACAATCTGATGATTTATTTTCTAAAAGGAGAACTTTTTTTTGAATTTGTTTTAAGTTATTCTCAATTAAATAGAATGTAATATGTCCTTTTTGGGGGGACGGTGTTTTATTTGAAATGTTGGGTTTTTTTTGGAATAGCATTATTGCAATTGTAATATTATCTTGTATTTGTGACTGTATTTGTTTAGTGATTGTAGACCTTCTAGAAAAGAATTTTTAGATATGCTGTTCAGGTGATTTTGGTTTATGTCATACAATTCAGTAAATCAAGGAACAGGTTCAAGCACATTAAATTCAAAACCACTAGAAATAATAAATGATGTGATGTAACTTAGTACAGGCCCACTCAATTGTGAATGAATAGATTAATACACCAAAGCAAATACTGACAATTTTTGCCTCCACCTGGATTGCTGAGGACTTATACACTTTTCATATGACTTTTAAAGATGAGTTGAGTCAAGGCATTATCAAGCTATTTGCATATTAATATATGATGGGAATAAAGGAGCTTCAGAACCAGTCGTGACAGTTGATTTTGGCTGTCATCCTTGCTAAATGCTTGAACTTTTTCTTCTTACTCTTTGTCTTGAAGTCATAAAATTGTACAGTGAAAACTTTACAAGACACTAATTTATACAAACTCCTATAACAAAGAACACACAAATATCTCAACTGAAATTTTGTATTTTTTTTTTAGTACTTCCATTGGGTAACCACTTTTGTTAGTCTTGGAGTGTGTGCTTATGGTAGTTTTCACTCTATTATTTAACTAAACCTGTATTCCTTGTGTACCTCAATCTCTATCTATTGAAGTCAATTTGAAGCAAAGTGATGCAGAATTGGTCCCTAGATCATCTCATATTTTTGATAAATTATTAATATTCAAATAATATAATATTCAAATGATCAAGTTGTAAATTGATATCATTTTGTAGTGATCTACCCTGAAGCTGATGAAATACCAAAAACATTCAAATAGTCAGAAGTGTGTGTCTGTGTGGTCAGGGCACAGATTACAAATAAGTAGCAGCACTACAATGTTAAGGTGTATAAAAGCCAGGACATTCCAAAATTTAAAGTTGCCCCCCCAAAAGTGATTTCATTCATGTTGAATGTCCTTTGTGACGTGCAAAATTGACATAAATTATAATACTTTCCAGCCTATTAAAAGGAAACCAGAAAATAGAAAATACTAACTGTGTGCAAATGGTTCTGCTAATTTCGTGTTAGAAATATAGATCCTGGTCCTGCAACATCAAAATTTTGGAGTTTTGGAGTAATCTATTACAGAGATAGGCATCATTTGGGAGGTTCTGAATTTAGGTTTTCTACTATTAGAGCCCATGTCCATTAAAGTGGAGTTGTACTTTATGCAAAATCATTATAAGCATGTTCCATTATTTTAGTCACAAAAACGAATTTTACAGTGACATTAAGGGACCAAAAGAAATGGCCAGCTATGATGTGTACATCTGTGTTCTACCACAATCTTACACAAATGGTGTCTTTGGTTTTTATCATCTCACTTTTGTCTCAATTTTTTTTCTGTTATCTTCAATGCAAGAAAAATTGGACCTGTGCTGAATTTTCAGTTATGAAAAATTGTAGTGCCTTCAGTTTAGCCAAACCAAGAAAAAATGTCAATGAAATATGACACTCTGAACTCACCCACACTGTACAGATGTGATAACGAAAACTATACCTGATTTAGACAAAAAAAATGAAATTACATTTGTAATCCTGGAAAAGAAAGAGGAAATTGAGAAATCAGAGCTACAGGCCAAATGTAATTATCCTTATCTATTGATTTGACCTAGGATTGGGAATCAGGAGACCTGTCCAGGCTCTGATATTGATTTCCTGTGTAACCATAAGCAAACCTTCCTTAGTTTTCACCTGCTATAGACCTATACCTACCTCAGTTGTAGTGTAAGGCTTCACAAGTTGTTTGTGAAGCAATTTGTTCCTCATATGAAAGGTGCTATGTAACCAGAAGATAATATTGAATTGATCCTGAAATTTTGATTCAGTGTTCAATCAGTCCTTACCAAGGCAACATTTCACTGACTTCAATGAGAATTTTTTCTGAGTAAACACTGAAGGCTGGATTCTGATACCATTGCTCATGATGAGTAGTGCCTTACAAAGTCAGTAGCCCCACTGAACTCAGTGGGGTTTGTTGCAGAGTAAGGAGTTACTCAATGTGAGCAAGGGTTAGGGACCTTTTCACTGCAGTGGGGGGTTTGCCTGAAAAGGGGATGCAGGATTTTTTATTAAGAAAGTAAAATTGTTTTCCTGAGAATAATACAACTTTCTGCAGACTATTCTTAGAAACACAGGAAAAGTCTATAACCAGAAAAACAGAACTTTTTGTTCCGTGTGGAAATACTGACCTGAGTGAAAAAATCCCCTCTGCCTCTTGGATTATGTTTACTTGTGTTTATCCATTCAAACCAAAATTTATATCTATGTGGATCAGAAGTTCAGCTGATTTTATTTTTATTTTCTTGGGAAATCGTTTGTTGCTCTGGATGGTTAAAGTACATTTTACTTTTTTCAAAGTTGAATACTACTGTAGTTCTTATTTTCCTTGCATAAAAAAATCAGAAACTGGGGGCCAAAAGAGAAACCAAAGCAAAAAAACAAACAACAAAAAACTGTTACTTTAAAATCTGATGTGCTCTGTTATTTTTGATGTCACGGTGCATAATAGACAATGTTAAACTAAGGCTACATCTACACTACAGGGGGGAGTCGATTTAAGATACGCAAATTCAGCTACGTGAAT